GACAGATACAAATCAACATGAAGACGTGCAAGCCAATGATAACATTTTCGAGGATGCTTCAGTCACAACATCTTCCGATGAACCAAACGAAATGGTTATAAATGAATTACAAACAGACATCAATAAAGAGGCAACACAATCCTCTGATGAAGCTGTATCAACACCAACAGAAGAAATCGAGAATGTTGATAAAAATGACGTTCAAAGTATTTGTGATGCCGACGCATTGTCAACACCAAAGTCGATTGTGAAGCCGGATGAAAGTCGTGCTTTTACCATTCCACGTTACACAAAACGTTCACAACAAGTTTCCGAACTTGCATCTGTCACACCAAAACGAACACAGCGAATGTTCAATGTTCCCGAACAAACAGAAAAGGTAATTCCTGTACAAACTGAGGAACAATATTCTGAAATGGCCGATAGCAGTACACTTGCTGTAGAAGAAAAGCATCCCGAATCGCCAGAAGAACAAAGTGAGACCAAAGACATTGAAGAAGTGTCTGCCGTTTTTACAACGCCAGCCAAAGTTGAAATAATTGCCAAATCTAGTTCAACCATAACTCGGTCATCAAGACGTCAACAACAAAATATCGATATTGAAACCATGACTTCAAAACGAACACAACAAAAATTGAACATGAGTGTTAATGTTCCACAAACTCCATGCGAAGCAGAAGTCCAATCATCGTCTGAAACAATTCAAAATGAGGACGAGCAAGCCACAATTGAAGAACAGTCTTCCAAAGTGGACAAACAGATCGAAACATCAATTATTGAACCAGAGCAAAAAGATTTGGTGTCTGAAAACATTGAATTAGCAAAAGAAGATGCGCTCATTGAAGACGAACAAGTTGAGGAAAAAATGAAAGTGGATGATATTGAAGCCGATGTGGAAGTAACTCAGTCAAATGATAACGATACATTATTAACACCAGCAAAAGTCACAATGAAGCCGGATGAAAGCCGAGCATTTACCCTTCCACGATATACAAAACGTTCACAGCAAATTTCTGAACTTGCAACAGTCACACCAAAACGTACACCACGAAAGTTCAATGTTCCTGAACAAAGTGAGGAAAAATCTTCTGAAATGAACAAACAGCCCGAATGTGATACAGCTGATGTAGAAGAAAAGCAGCCAGAATTGTCTTCATCTAATTCTGAATCGCTAGAAGAACAAAGTGAGATTAAATCCACTGAAGAAGTGTCCGCCGTTTTTGCAACGCCAGCCAAAGTTGAAATGAGCGTGAAATGTAGTTCAACCAACACTCGATCATCAAGACGTCAAGAAAAAAGTGTTGATTGTGGAGCGTCACCCGAACGAACACCACGAACATTGAACGTGAGTATGAGCGAACCTGAAGTTCCGTCATCGACAATTTCAATTCAAAATGAAAGCAATGTTGACATTTCCGATGTCGTTTCAATTATGACTTCTTCTGATGAACAAAACGAAACGACTTTGGATCAAACTTCGATAGTTGTAAGCACTGAGCCAACACAATCCTGTGATGAAGCTGTTGAAATCGTTTCAACACCAAAGGAAGAAGTCGAGAATGTTGATAAAAATGACGTTCAAAATATCTGTGATGCCGACGCATTGTCAACACCAGCCAAATCTATTGTGAAGCCAGATGAAAGTCGTGCTTTTACCATTCCACGTTACACAAAACGTTCACAACAAGTTTCTGAACTTGCATCTGTCACACCAAAACGAACACCACTAAAGTTCAATGTTCCTGAACAGACAGAAAAGGTTATTCCTGAACAAACTCTGGAGCAATCTTCTGAAGTGGCCGATTGCAGTACACTTTCTGTAGAAGAAAAGCAACCCGAATTGTCTTCATCCAATTCTAAATCGCCAGAAGAACAAAGTGAGATCAAAGCCACTGAAGAAGTGTCCGCCGTTTTTGCAACGCCAGTCAAAGTTGAAATGAGCGTGAAATGTAGTTCAAACATAACCCGCTCATCAAGACGTCAACAACAAAATATCGATGTTGAAACTATGACTCCAAAACGAACACAACGAAAATTGAACATGAGTGTCAGTGTTCCAAAAACTCCATGCGAACCTGAAGTTCATTCGCCGATAGATACAAATCAACATGAAGACGTGCAAACCAACGATCAAATTTCCGAGGATGTTTCAGTCACAACATCTTCCGATGAACAAACCGAAATGGTTTTGGATAAAACTAAGTCAGACCCAAGCACAGAGCCATCCGATGTGGTATCTGATAAATCAACCGAAGATGATATGGCAATTGTTGAAGAACAAATTGAGGAAGAAATGAATGTGGATCAAGTTGAAGCCGATTTGGAAGCAACTCAGTCTAATGGTGACGCCATTGAATGTATTTCAATGCCAACAGAAGAGGTTGTCAAAGACGCTGAATCATCTGATAATCAAGATAAAAACACAGAATACCCACAAAACATTATTGATGTCGACCCATTATCAACACCAGCAAAGGCCATTTTGTTGTCGGATGAGAGTCGTGCCCTTACCATTCCACGATACACAAAACGTTCGCAGAAAGTTTCCGAGCTTGCATCTGTCACACCAAAGCGAACACCACGAAAGTTCAATGTTCCCAAACAGACAGAAAATGCCATTCCTGTACAAACTGAGGAGCAATCATCTGAAGTGGCCGATAGCAATACATTTGTTGCAGAAAATGCCATTCCAGAACAATCTTTGGAAGCGGACAAACAGCTCGATTGCGGTACATCTAATTCTGAATCAACCCAATCACAAAATGAGATCAAAGCAACTGAAGAAGTGTCCGCCGTTTTTGCAACGCCAGCCAAAATTGAGATGAACGCCAAATGTTGTTCAACCAACACTCGGTTATCAAAACGTCAACAAAAAAGTAGCGATGTAAAAGTTATGACTCCAAAACGAACACCACGAAAATTGAACATGAGTGTCAGTGTTACACAAACACCAGGCGAAGTCCAATCGTCGACAGATACAAATCAACATGAAGACGTGCAAGCCAATGATA